AAAAAAAAAAAAAAAAAAAAAAAAAAAAAAAAAAAAAACAACAAGAAAGAAAGAAAAAAAATGAAGAAAAAAGAAGCAAATAAAGGAAGACTTAAAAACAAAAACAAATAGCAAAACACAAACACACAAGAAAAAAAAAAAAAACAACAAAAAACAATGCAATACAAATTTCTCGTTTTTTTTTTCTCGTTTTGGTAATGCTTTGCGCTGTATTTTCCTTTCTTCTGCAGCTTCTTTGCTTGTTGATGCTCAAGATGCGAAGCAGTAAGAGTTGAGGAAGAAGAAGAAGAAGTAGAAGAAGTGGAAGAAGAAGTAGCAGAGGTAGGTGCACTGCCACCCAAGCAAAAAGTGGGCGTATGCCACGCACGTTCTCAACACGTTCGCCTTTGGATGCAGCAACTGCCTCAACTGCCTCGCGTGGCATGCAGCAACGCCCCACGTTGCGCCCATTTGCTGCTATATAGCTGCTGCTCGGCTCGGCTAAGGTACATACACATACACACATATACATATACATATATATATATAGTGGCACTCGGCAACGGCTTTGTAGCCATAAAAGTGTCTTTGTTGCAAGTGAGTGCGCCGCATTTAAGACGTGGCAAGGCGGGCAGGCATCCAGCCAGCCAGCCAGCCAGCCAGCTAGCAACCGGCAGGCAACAGCGTGTTGCACATCGCGCTCAGTTCACACGCGCATTCACGTCTTCCAGCTTCATTTTGTTGGCTCGAAAACAATTCAACACACATTTCGCCAGCTTTATGCTTATGACACCCTAAAGTACGAGCACTGCCAACGGGAAGTACTTGCAGCACTTGCCACACATATTAGTTGCATTTGTACTACATGCTGTACGCGCGCTGCTCTGCCCAGCTCTGCGCCACACCAACTCTGCCCACCCATTTTCCCACCTCTGCCGAAAAACTTGTCATTTATAATCGTGATTAACAGTTTCTTTCCTTCTTTCTTACCTGTTTACGGAATCTGCTAAGCCACAGTTTATCGCCACATTTCGCCAGATGGCGCCACAAAGCAACAACAACACACAACAAACACCCATTGTCTTCATGCCCCAAAAATCTCAGCACATTCATTTGGATAAAGTTTCTCGCCGACTCCTCAAAGTATGCAGCAAAATTTTTACTCGTTGGATTATTTATGAAGGCAAACAACCTCGGAGTGTCAGGCCATAAAGCCCTTCAAATGATGATCAGTTTTAACTACTTGAGTCGAACTGCAGATGGCCTACTAAATCAAGCCTGATCTCGAGAGTTATTCGATGTAATTTCCTGCTTATATGAAACTTTTTCCTGCAGTTCTTCTGCTGCTCTTTAGCATTTTCATAGCTCTCTTGATTATCCACTTTACACGGAGCTCTTTATTTATTTATTTTTATCTATTTATTGAACTGAAGCTCAAATTAATTTGAATAGACATTATACAAATACATTCGAGTTCCAATAATTCGGGAGGGATCATTTTTTTTTTTTTTCGATTTACACAGAAATTTAAATTATTGAGAACGATTTTTTTTTCGATTTATATCGATTTTCAATTTAACGGGGTACAAATTATCGCGACTCGACTGTGTTTAGTATTCGGCATAGCTCAAAGTACACATAAAAAGTATGCTTAATGGGTATTTCATAGTCTAGCATAAATAAACTTTGCTCTATATGCCCACTTCCAATGGGTTTAAGTTTCATCAGTCAGTCTAATTCTTTATACAAATAAAAATTCTGCTTTATAGCCAATAGGTATGTCATAGTCTAACATACTCTACCCGCTACACTACCGTCTATTGTTTACAATCTAACTGCATTTTGATATTTTCCATTTTTCAAACTACAAAACACGAACCTCCAGCAAATCAAAACGAACTGACATTGGTTTAGCCATCGCCTGAAGATGCTGTGATGCCAATGGACACACTCACACACACAGACACACGCTCACTGATAGGCATGTGTGTGTGTGTGTGTGAGTGTGTCATCTGTGTGCGTTGACAATTGAAAGCGGCCAAGTGACTGCAAAGTGCGTGAAGCGCCACACAGAGCCTTCGGCAGTGCTTGTTGCAACATGCAGCGGCGACACTTGCAACACCAAGGACAACAGCGCAAAGAGCAGCTAAAAAGATTTGCATGTTTTGTTTATCTCTTCTTTTTCTTTTTTTTTTTGCCTGTTTTCTGTATTTTTTGCACGTTTTTTGCCTCACTCGCGTTAGCCACATTTCTGCTCTTGGCCATTTTGCAGCTTACGCAAAGTGCAGTCGCCTGCCTCATGGCATATAGCCGACATATATATATACTATACTATATATATATATATATATGTCCTGGCAAGTCGCTCGATGTGCGTACTATACTATCGTATAGACAACAGCTGATCAAAATCGCCAAAAGGATATAGAGTTAACAGAGAGATAACATCCCTTCTTTTCATTATACATATACATGTATATATACATATATCCTCCTGTCGAATCTTAAACAACATTGCAGCAATTGCTTTTGGCATTTGAAAGCCAGCTGCAGCTCTGAGATACGCAAATATCCTACTCCAGACTCGTGTGGTTGCAGCGACAGCAGCAGATACACAATTTAGAGCCATAAGATACAGCACATCAATGTTTTTGCTTTGTGCTGCAGGAAATTACTTAAATTACTCTTGAGATACAAACGAATTGCTCGAATTGAATTGCACAAAAGCTGAAGGAAATTGTGAAATTAATTTCAAAGTCTGAGATATAAAAGTATCTAAAGGATGCATTGATTAATGTAGCCAAAAATGTCTTGATTAAAGACTAACCAAATTGAAGTATCAAATGACTCATGCAAGGAGCACACACACGCACACACATACACACACACACAGACTTACCCCTGGCACACATGACTAGTCAGAGCAGAGCTTATATACGATATCCCTTTGACTTATCAATGAACCAATATGTATAAACTTTTAAATATTTCACGGCTAATTGTGCGTATCCTTAGGCTATAAGGAGCCAAGTTAATGTGTCCCACACACACACACACACGCACACAGAGACTGGTCTGAAATTGTCTTGAGGGCCCTTGCGCCTGGCATAAACGAACAAACAGCCAAACAGCAACAGCAACAGCAACGGCTGCTGACAAGGACAAGAGGCCCGGTTGGGCCAGTCCAGGCCGAAAGGAGCTGTCCCATAGTCCGAGAGCCCATAACATTTTTGCCACCTAACAATACGTAACCGATACTTGGAAATGTCAGACGCAGCAGGCTTAGCCCACAACACCTGTCTGTGCCTGGCCACACGCCCGAAACTGACCCAGCGCCCATTAGGGGGCTGGGCTAGTGCCACAGCCAGCAAAACGGCTCAAAGGATTAGGGCGCGCTTTCACTCTCGCTCTCGTTCTGGTTCTCGTGGGCTTCCCAAAACGCTGGAAACCTCATAAAAGTTATTGTTTTTCTACTTCATTATCTTTCAAAAGCAAAAGGCGAAAAAGTGCTGAAAAAAAGAAAAAAAAACGATATGTGCTTTCGTTTTCGTGTTCGTTTTTGTTATCGTTTTCATTTTGAGCTTGTGCTTGCCGCTTAAGGTTTTATTTTACATGCCACTTGGCCACAATGCCCAGCGGGCTGAACGCCTTCAACTTCCTGCAGATCCTTAAGCTGCTTGCTTGCTGCTGCTGCTGCTGCTGCTGGTGGTGGTGTTAGTGGTGCTGGTGGTGCTGCTGGCAGACGTTTTGAAGGACAAGTGTAATGTTTAGACGCTCGCTTCGCACAAGCCAGCTTAAGTTGCGAACTGAACTAAACGAAACTAAACTTATTGTTGGCTTCAACTTACCCAGCGCATGACATTGTAAAATCTTGGTCCGTCCCTCGCTAACAATGGATCCCGATGACGATGGATGCGTTGTGAAACGTGGCGCCTGTTGCTGTTGCTGTTGCGATTGTCCTGTCGGTGGTCCTGCTTGTTGTTGTTGTTGTTGTTGCGGAATGGCATCTGCAATAGAAGAAGAAAAAAACAGTTGTTCATGATGAGCATTTTGTTCCGAGCTGTCAATGCAAACAAATTCCCCGGAGCGTGCTCGTTAAAAAGCAACGCTCGACCTTGACAATGCCACTGGTCATGTTCAAGGACTCGCCGGGCATATTTCAGTTAGTCATTCGACTTATTTGTTGCCACATTTCTCACTGCGCTTCCCATGGCACACAGAAAAAGCAAATAACACAAAAGCAAAGCAAAACAATGAGCCCAACTGAATAGCACGAAGTCACCGAGTGTTATTCCTGTCAAGCATTTCGACTGGTTTTCAATTTGCGTTGGCATTTGCGAGGAGATTAAACAATCATTTTACTACGATTGAGTCGAATTGAATGAGTGAATTCAAAAAGCTTCAAGCGATGTGAGTGTATCTATACTATTATTTGAACTTCCACTTATCATCGATAAAAATCGATATTTTCACTTACTCAACATGATATAAATTGACATATTTTTTTAGTAAAAATGTTCTACTTGATTATACTATCGAAAACGATTTTTTTTTTTTCAAGAGATAAAATTGTTTCGATTTATCACGAATTTTGATTTAGCAGGGTACAAATTATCAAGAATATCCAAGTTATCAACAATTTGTACCCTGCTAAATCAAAATTCGTGATAAATCGAAACAATTTTATCTCTTGAAAAAAAATTCGTTTTCGATAGTTCTCGATAATTTGAATTTCTGTATAATTCGAAGAAAAACTGATACCCTTGCCATTTTCAATTATTGAGACTCGACTGCATATAAAATATTGTTTTGAATATGATCGATAAAATATCGAAAATTTAAGAAATCAAATCGTCGCTTATTATCGATAATATATGCATTTATTACATGTCATGTCATGTCATTCAAAAGCAGAATATGCTTGAAAGGTTCTACCCATCCTGCTACAAACACGGAAATTAACTCTGATGCTTTAATTTCTCATAAAAATAAAAATAAATTCAATTATTAATAGATTCATAAGAGCTCACAGATGCAATATAACTTAAACCTAAATCATTAAATTCCATTTAATATCGTTCAAGCAAAAAAAGTGCAATATATTGATTTAGCATAGCATTTCAAATTAAAAACATTTTTTATGATGTCATCAATAGCAATTTTTATTCATAGCACACAAAAGGAAAAAATATAATGTAAAAGGTTTTATAGAAAAAAAAAACTATTTACTAATTTAATATTGAATGACATAAATGCTTTACTTAACTGAATTTGTAATTATTTCACTAACAAAAAATGAACACAGCGCAGCAAAATAAAGTAGAAATATGTAAAATTTTGCCAAATTTTGTTTATTTTATATTATTTGTTGCTGTGTTGAGTATGAGTTTTATGACAACTAAAACAGCCAACACGAGTTTCTATTTGGTTTTGAGACTATTGCAAATGCGAGCATATAGGGTATATTGTTTTGCTGCCTGTGCATTTTGAGGGCAGCAGGTTGAATCTATAATCGAGAGGTTATGTTTGTATTATATCTGAAATCTTTACGAAACTCTGCTGCTTTGTCTTTCGCATTGACTGAATGCTCGTCTTCTTCTGCCAATCGCATTCTAATCGAGCTTCGATGCTATCGATCAAGTATGTATAGGCTTATGTTTAGATATCGATAGTTAGCTATACATATGTTTCACCATTTTAGATATACAGTAGAATCCGATTATAACGACACTCAAGGGACCGTCGTTATACCCGGAAGGCGCTATAACCGTATAGCCGAATAATCGTATAAGGCGCTAGAAGCGGATTCGTTATAGCCGGAGTCTACTGTATATCTCGATCATATCTATTTCTAGCTTAGTTCAGATCAAGTTTATCAGTTCAACATATTTAATACAGCCTGTACCCTACCTTCCTCCATATCCAATACCTCTCATCATAAATACCTCTTACGCATAAAAATATAAAACAAGGCATCTCACAGTCGTGCACACCCCACCCAACCTCTATGGTTTGTTCTGTGCACATTGCAATAGACACAAGAAAACTTGTTCAAAATCCAATATGTCTATTGAAATACAAAATTGCTTTTCAATAAATTAAAAAAAAAAAAAAAAGTAGCTCTAATATTATTTTATTATTTCGACATGCAAACCAAGCAAAACGTATAAATATTTTAATTTTATTTATTCGCTGCAGACAGGAATAGTTCTACGGTAATTCCTTATCATTAAACCGATAAAAGACAACAACAAAAAAAAGCAAAACACAAATTGGGGGCTATAACTTGCGCCGTAGCGTAATAAATCCAATAAATCCAAGTGACAACGGGCAGCAGCAACAATAAACAGGAAAGTCTAACCGAAACGAAGAGCCATGGTGCTCTGGCGCTCTGGCTCTGGTTCTGGCTCTGGCTGCGGCGGCTCTGGTTCTGCGTTCTGCTTTTTGCAAATATTTTTACTGGTTGGCCTGACCCATTTTTCAAGGGATTATAAATTCATTTTGAACGCAAAACATTCATACAAACATATCTATACGTATATATGTATATATATATATATATGCCGATGTATTTTGGTTACGGCACCGTCACAAAGTAACAACGAGCGCCCTTTGCGACACGTTTATTGGAAACCACGTAAATAATTTGTTTATTTTTACCTCTGACAAATGCATGAATGGGTGTCCTTTGAACAGCTCAAAGCCAGAAGAGTTCAAAATTAAAATATCGAAAATGTTGTGAACAAATGCCGAAATACTCAGCCGAAAATTGCTTAATTATTTAATAGTGACAACTGTTTCAAAGGGGCGCAACTCTTATTGATTCAAATCAACCATATTAATATTCAAGTATATTAATATATATATGTATGTATGTAAATAGAGGCAGTCGTTGCGTATTCTTTTCCGAAATACATATATATAGACCTGTTGTAGGGAAGGCATTTCCTGATCTTATTATTTGTATAAAGCGCAAATTTTTTATTGTCATTTGCAACAGCTGCAAACCGTTGCCAAGTAGCAAAGTAACTGCACAATGCAAAAGTATCTTAAAGTTGCAAAGCTCACAAAAGACACAAAAGTAGCAGTAAGACACAAGACTGTATATATATATATATAGTCGGTACAGTTGGTACAGGCCACACAAAGTAACTGCAAGATGCAATACTATCTGTTAAGAAAACAAAACTATCTATAAGTTGCACAAGCATAGACAAGATACAAAAGTATCTGTACATCAGGAAAAATATCTGTGGGACAAACTTGAATGCATCTTTTATGCATTCTGCAACTATTACTATATGTTACACTGTATTCAATCAAGCAACAACAACATTGCATAGGCTCTGCACTTTGGCCAAATTTCACTTGAAACGCCTATAAAATTCTCTTTGCTTTCTGCATAAATCGTGTCGATATTCATGCTATATAAATAGTTTAGCGCTTTGAAACGATTTCCGCCACTCGCTTTTCACATGAACCCCGTTCAGCTGAAATGAGAGCAATCAAATGTTGATATGCTCGACTAGCAGATACCCGAGCCAGAGTTCAACTGAAGTGCAAATGTTTTCAATTGGATATGCTCGACTAGCAGATACCCAAGGCCTGGCTGTGGCAAGGGAAATATCTTGTATGTTCATTATGAAATTTATGATCAGAACTCTATATCTTCTCTCTCTCTCTCTCTACCTAATATATATTTGAATAGAAATATTCCAGAAATATCTAAATAATATATTGACTAAGCACAAGCCAAAGCACTCTTCTTCGATTAATGTAGTTGAAGCATCTTATATCTATAGATATCTCAACAATATAAACATATACATATATATATAGTCATAGTCTAGCATATAGCGCCATCTGTTGAGCAATTTTTGCTACAAACTGCAGGGCATAGCCATTCTATTTACATATTTTTATAGCCATGTTGCAACCAAAAAAAAAAAAAAACGAAATAAAATGCATTTGCTGGCAACACTGTGGCAATTAACAATTAGCAGCGCTGCAAATCGCATTTGGCCAAAACAGAATGTTGTAAAAGCGAAAAACATATGGCAAGCATATGTTTTTATTTGGCCGATTGGGAAAGTTGACTGAATGTGTGTGTGTGTGTGTGTGTAAGCAGCTTTACGCCTCGCTGATTAGCCGAGGCCCAGTTGTAACAGTTGCTGTTTAGCTGTTCTCTGTTGGCGATTGTGATTGAGTATATAATTCTAGCCTGTGGTTTGGTTACGCCTGACAAGAGAGCAGCTGAAAGCCAGTCAACAATGCTGCTCAGTGAATGGTCAATGTTGCCATGAAGATGGCATGCCACTCCACACTTTGCCACCTGCCCACACATACGCAAAGACAGCAGGAGCAGCAGCAGCAGCAGCAGCAGCAGCAGCAGCCGCAGGAGGAGGAGCAGCAGCAGCAGGAGAATGGCGACTGTCGGCTGACGGCTTTGTCAGCTCTAAGCCAAGCAGGCGTTAAATTGCCAATGTGTCCGGCACGCTCTTGACAAACGCTGGCTGCGCTTACTGCTGCTGCTGCTGCTGCTGCTGCTGCTGCTGCTGTTGCTGCTGCTGCTTTGTGGTTCACAATTGTTGCAGTTGCAGCAGCCCCAGCACGCCACAGTCCTTAACATACCACTCTCCTGCTATCTGCCTTCTTTATACCTCCCTCCGCTCCTGCCGCACATTCTATTCTAAGCTGCAGTGCTTCAGGTTTGCGGTTTGCGCATGCGCAGCGGCCACACACACGTTCAATGGCTTCCCGCTCGTCTCTGTCAGACATTTGATATGCGCCTGCTGCAGGCATATATATATTCCTTGTTGTTGCTGTTGTTGTTGCCATGTCTCTTTATATGCAAAATATGTTGCTATTTTTGGTGATGCGCTCAATTTACAGCACTTTAGCAGGCAGACACCCACACACATAGACACAAGGACTTGTTCACAGGAAACTATGTCGGGCATTTTGAAAACACCCCCGCACACACACACACACACACACATACCCACTCGATTGTCGTCCCGTTGAGCTTTTGCTGAAATTTGTTTGTTTAATGTAAACGACGCCTGTTTTATCTGCATTGCCACTTACAAGTGGCACAAAATTTCAAGCCGCAGGCTCAAGTGGGGCAAGACTGCAACTTCCTTGCGGCAGTTGTCG